CGCATCGTCTATCGACGGTTAAGGATTTTGATGTCAATGATACACATAAGATTCTCGGCTTGAGCTGGTCTCCCACATCCGATACATTCAGTCTCAAAATTAGTTCGACCCCGCCAACTTGTACCAAACGCACCATATTGTCTTGTGTCGCTCGCATATGGGACATTATGGGTTTTGTAGCACCTGTAGTGTTATACGCGAAGCTTCTTATTAAAGAGCTTTGGCTTTCTCAGTGTGATTGGGATGACATCGCACCGGACAACGTGGCCAGATTATGGGCTCGCTTTAGAGAAGAGCTTCCTTTGCTCGAACAGATAAAAATCCCACGTCATGTAGGTATCTCTCGAGATAGTGTAGTCACTATCGTGGGGTTCGCAGATGCTAGTGAGAAAGCTTATGGAGGAGTGGTGTATTTTCACGTTCGCAATGGCGACAATATTACAGTTAGCCTTATTAGTGCGAAATCTAAGGTCTCCCCTCGAAAGGTCGTCTCTCTCGCGCGCCTTGAGCTTTGCGCTTTACTACTATTGACGCGGCTCATTGGTGCCATAGTCAAGGGTTCTAACAACCGCATTAATATTGATAGAATTGCTGGCTTTTCTGACTCAACCGTAGCTTTGTGTTGGGCTCATTCTTCTCCCGACCGTTGGGACACATTTGTTGCTAATAGAGTAGCAAAAATTCAGTCTGAATTATCACCTCAAAATCTATATCACGTCGCTGGAACAGACAATCCTGCCGATTGTCTTTCGCGGGGTTTAACCCCTGCTCAAATATTAGATCATCCGCTCTGGTTTCATGGTCCATCATGGGTACGAGATGCACCCTGTGATTGGCCAGTTAAGCTTTTTAATCCCGCGACTGTCTCTGAACCGCCAGAAGAAAAACGACACACTCTTGTAACTTCTGCGCCAAGAGAAGACTCAGTTATATTATTATTGGCTAGTCGTGTTTCGTCATGGTCAAAGTTGTTACGTTGCGTGGTATATGTTTGCCGCTTTGCTAAACTGTTACCACAGCAGCAGTATATAGTCGCCTCTGACTTTTATAAGGCAGAGCTTATCGTTCTTCGTGAACTGCAACGAGCGCATTTCGTTTCAGAAATTAATAGCCTAGAGGCTAATAAACCTTGCAGGCGTCCTTTTCAAAATTTGAAGCCTTTCTTACAGGATGGACTCATCCGAGTAGGTGGTCGTTTGAGTCAGTCCAACTTAGGATTTGATCAAAAACACCCCATAGTTTTACCGCGTAAGGGCCACATCCTTGATTTACTGGTCGATTATTATCACAAACTTCACTGTCATGCTGGTCCCGATTTATTGATGTCAATACTTAGACAAAGATATTGGATACTTTCCGCACGTAATTTGATTCGCTCAAGGGTACATAAATGTGTGCCCTGTTATAGACTTCGTCCGCGTCCCATCGCACCTGAAATGGCTGACCACCGTTCTTGTCGCGTTGTAGAAACCGCTAAACCTTTCGTGCATACTGGTACAGACTTTGCTGGACCCTTTAAGGTCACCATCTCACGTGGTCGGGGTATTCGTTCATCGAAAGCATATGTTTGTCTTTTCGTGTGTATGACCACTCGTGCTGTTCATATAGAACTAGCCAGTGATTTGAGCACGCATAGTTTCATGGCTGCTTTTAAAAGATTTTTATCGCGCCGAGGTCCTGTAGGTTGTATGTACTCAGATAACGGTACAAATTATGTGGGTGCCAAACGCAATATTTCGGAAGTTCACGCTTTTTTGAACTCTAAATACTACAAAACTGAATTCGCACATATGTTAGCAGAAAATCGCATTAAATGGCAGTTTAATACGCCCGCCGCAAGTCACTTCGGCGGAAATTGGGAAGCAAATATAAAAAGCCTTAAATCCCATCTTTATAGAGTTGTAGGGTTGCAGATTCTCACTTTCGAAGAGTTGAGTACCGTGCTCACTCAAATAGAAGCCGTGATGAACACACGTCCGCTATGTAGGACACTGTCTGGCGACCCAGCTGAGCCGTTAGCTTTGACTCCGGCTCACTTTTTGTCGTTGACGCCGCTTAAATATTTACCCGCTAGAGATATTGACGAAGACAGGCAGCATATTCTCTCGCGTCACTCTCTTTTAGATAAATTAGTTCAGTCATTTTGGAAACGTTGGAAAACAGACTACTTACATACGCTACAATCGCGCCAAAAATGGAACACTCCATCCAACCCAATCGTTGTTGGAAAAGTAGTAATTTTAATGACGGAAAACGCGCCCCCGCTACATTGGCCTTTAGGAGTAGTGGAGGAGGTTTTTCCTGGTTCAAATGGAGTGATTAGAACTGTACGCGTTAGGACCGCAACCGGATCGTATCT